TTTGTGAAACAAGCAAATAAATTAGTAAACTGGTCAGCACAGAACCCTGAGCATGGACCAGCCCCAGCGCTGCCTCCTGGAGGTTCTAAGAACCCAGGCCTGGAGGATTTTGGTGATGAGATAAGGAGGCCTTTCCGTGCCCATCTGGCTTGGTCAGCTGTGCCAGAATGCAGCCACACCATTTCACGTGCCAGTGCTTATTAAAAAAAAAATTCAAGAAAGCAGAGAGATTCTAATGGAAAGGTATAATTTTGGATAGTGAGAACTGAGAGCAAATTGCTTAAAGGAAGGCTATTTGGAAACAGGGATAAGTGAGAAAGCGACTCTGGGAAATAAATTGAGAGTGTCACTGTGGGGTTGTATAAAGATGTGTCTCCCTGCAGATTCTTTTTCCCCCCCTTTTCTTCTGAGCAGCGAATCCGAGACCCTGTACTGGACAGAGAGAGTAAGATCTTCCTCTCTGTAGATGAAATTATTCTTTCCACACATAAAGAGTTAGAACTTGCTATGACATAGTGTTAGGTTTTTTTAAAAACTTTCTCTTTTTTTTAGGGGTTTTTTTGTGTGTTTTTTAAATTGAGATTTTAATGAAAGTTTACAAGGAACTTGAATTTCCATTCATTCATTGTTGCACATCCTCCGCCCTGCCCCTCTCTCCACTAGTTCACTTTAAAAAAAAAAGTTCTTTCCTTGTTTTACAGTTCCCTACCCCACCCCAACCCTGACCACTTTACTATGCAGCCCTTTCTGGACTCTTGGCTATGACATATTCTTAACACTTGAATGAGATCTAGTTGAGATGGATTGATTCAGTGACTTGGGTAATGGGGTTAAGTGTGTCAGAGACAATACAATTGGCACAGGGTAGAGCAGGGCTTAGGGCTGTTGTACATAGGATCTCTATGGGTCGCAAGCGAGTTGATGGCACCTAACAACATCATCATAGCTTTTACCGAGTGTTGTAATGTAATGCAGTGGGTGCATTTTGTGGCAGTGAACAAGTCCTCTTGCTGTTACCTGTGACATGAGATGACCCCTCTACCCACAGGACTGTTGGGAGGACACTGCAGGAAGCTGGCCTGTGAAAGCACAGTGTAAGGTGGACTGGGTAGAGACACTGGGGGCAGGGTCCTGGTGTTTGTACAACCCTGAGGACTGGGAGTGTGGCCAGTCCTAAGGAGGCGAAGACCCTCAGCCTGTCCCTGATTCTTCCCTGATGCAGTCGTGCCTGGGAGATGCCCTTTTCTCCATGGCTTTGGCAAGCTGTTGATTTGGTTTCTCTTAAAAACGTAAAGAAACCTTTGTAGAGCACAGAGGAGACACTTGTCATTGTCCTTGGCCATCTACTTCCCAGCTTTGAGGAGCTCCCACCCCTCGCGCAGGAAGCAGGATGAGCCAGCATCAGAGGGTATGTGGACACTGCACTAGGAGCCTCGTGACCAGGGGTCTCTCTCAGCTGCCTGTGCTTGATCTGCAGCCGCCAAGCAGCCTGGGAAATGCCAAGTCACAAGACACGATGGAAGCATATTTGCTGATGAAGCAATCTCTGTTGGTCTTGACTCTCACTTCACATCCTGGGATGCAGCTCGGTTGTTTTACCAGGAGGACCCAGGAATATCTTAGTGCTCTTTCTCTCCTTGCATGGACTCTGTTTCCCCTGGCACCCACATGCTGCCATGTGATTCGTATGGGCCTGATGGTTGATGGCCTTTTCTGAAGATCAGAGAGAAGCACTTGAAGATGGCCATGACACTCATCATTTCTTTATGCCCACATTGAGGGGAAGCGGATAAAAAACATACACCCCAGAGATGTGTCTTCCTTAGAGTGGGGAGTTCTTGTGGCTGGTATCCAACATCTCACAAAGCAGTCTCTGCCCTCCACGTTCTTTTATTCCCAGGAGATGACACAAAGCCAGCTTCTTGGAGGCTTACGATAAACCCGGGCAGTATCTAACATCAGTCTGGGCAGACAGCATGAAAAGAGAAATCTTTAAGATGTTTAATAAGCTCACCCATCAGTTATGATTATGCGATTACTGTGGAGCCTCACCTGCTTGTCGGGGCTGCTTCTGTGAATGCAGGAAGCTCAGGTCCCCACCTTCCCACCAGCCACCCTCAAATCCAGAGACTCATAAATATCTCCTGGCTTGGCGATGCCAGTAATGCCACATAATTAGAAGGAAAGCCTTTAAGTCACAAAGATTTAATGGCTCACAGGTACTTGTGACCACTGCCCAGGATGTTCCCTGGAAGGCAGCATGCCTGAGGGGAAAGTATCAATCAAGAAAATGCCATCTTGTGAGAATCGATCACCTCTGAAGAAGCTCTCTGTTCCTCGTTGTCCTCATAAACACCGTCACGCCTTTCAAGGCGGCCTTCAGGTTCCTTCTGCTTTGCAGCATTGCTACAGCCAGAACCTTCTTAACTGTGAAAGAGGTGCCTTCAACACCAGCGCTGCTCTCTTACAGGCTGAAATGGGGCAGGCTTTAAAGAAAATGGGGACTTAGCATAAGGCTGGCACTGGTGTGTAATCAATAGCCTGTAAGAACTATTTGGGGTTTTAAAAAAATTTTTTAAAATTATTTTGTGTGTGTGTGTACTGTCAAACTGGATCTGACTGGTACAGGAGGAGATTGCCCCTCCTTCTCCAGCAGAGCATCTGGTGCATTCGAACCGTGTGCCTCTGGGATTGCAGTGCAGCTTTTTGTCACTAGGCCACCAGAGCTCTCCTGAGAACTATTTGTTAAGAGTCATATCTTTCTCCATTTAATGGATTTCAGTTCACCCCACCCTTCTTCAAGATCGGGAGCTATAGGCTTTAATTCTGGGTTCTTGGTTTTGTTCTATCAGTTCATATACCAGGAACAAAAATTACCCCAGTGGTCCATGTACAGCACACAAATTGTTGCTAGGTACCATCGAGTTCACTGTGACTCCCAGTGACCATAGAACCTTGTGGATCTGGACCTTGCCATCTCCCATGCCATCCTCAAAATCTCTAAGACGCTCAAGCCCCTCACTCTAGTCACTGTGTCAATCTAATCTAGTTGAGAGTCTTCCTTTTCCTCTGATCCTCCACCTTTCCCATTGCCACCCAGGTGACCAGCAATACCAGGGAGATCCTCCTTAGAATAACCAACCAATTAAGGTCACCGGAGGAGCCTTTGCCCAAGGATTAAGGACAGAAGGCAGATAGCACAGAAGGATTCATAGACATGAGAATTACAGGCAGGAAGTGCAAAGAGTTCAAGTAGATTGTGGTTGTTGTAATTAATGTTATAAAACAAATGTGTAAGAGTGATTCAATGAAAAACTAATCTGCTTTGTAAACTTTGACTCAAATCATCATTTAAAAAAAAAACATCCAAGAGTTTCTCCTCAGACCCCTTTTTCTACCCCTGACGCCATCACATCTGAGGCTAAGGAGGAACTGGAGAAAAGAAGGAATGAGCACTGTTGTGTCATGTCCTGAGATGGTGCTGGAATCTTGGCAGCTTCCGGGTCAAAGGGATGCTTGGCGCGAGGGGGAGGAGCTGACCCTACAGCGCCTTCCTCCACCCCTTTCTGTCTCTGATCTCTGATGCCCCAAAGTGGGAAGGAAGGCGGCTTCTGCCTCCCAGCAAGATGCGTGGGACCCACGTGGGAAAGACTGTTGTATTTTCTTTGCATAATGGTACGATTCACAGCTAAATGAATGCATTGTGTGTGTCTGCTCAACGTTCCACAGTGAGAAGATGCAATACTGTAGAAGGTGCCGTGCAAAACACATGATACAAATTCTTGGGGCTTCTCTCTGCAGGGTACTGCACTGCTGTCCTTCAGAGACTCCCATCCCAACCTTGTTGATAACACAGACATTCTAAGCTATGTTCAGGAAGCATATTGCGTGTTTGCAACTTGTATTCTGCTTTCTTTTAAAAGCACGAAAACAAAAGCTAGGTACCACAATCTTTTTTTTTCTTCTCTGTGCCATTAACTATTTATCAAAAGCACTCTTAGGGGCATACTGCGTTTTTATTTAAAATTTTCATTGGTAATGCATTGATTTACTTATTCATGCATATTTATCAAGCAAATGTTTTCTTTCTATCTCTCCACCCTTCACTCTACCCCTTGGGTCCTCTTAGCTTGATCCAACTCCTTCAACTCCTAGTCAGTTCAGATCAGATCAGATCAAAACAAGAAACTCATTCTCTGGGAACAGTATCAATGTCATCACTATTGAGCATTGGCTAAGTGCTGAACATTGTGTTAATTGCTTTGTCTAATAATTGCAAATCTCTGTGGCAACTGAGAATTGATGTCCTCCTCCATTTCAGGGGGTCCAGGCTTGTGGGGGAGGGGGCGGGTTGAAGGCTTGGGGCTGGGAGTTGATTACTCAGCCAGTCGAATGCCTGCTGGGCCCCACACCCTCTTCCAAGGAGTCTGTTCAGGACACTGAGCGGTGTGGGTGGAAACTCACGGGCACCGGTCGTCGTCTTAAGTGGCCCATTTATGTCAGAGGAAAGCCAGTTGTGTTGACCCACTTTCTCTCACAGCGTTGGGGGCAGGAAGAAGCCCATGAGGGTAGGCATGACCTCTTTGCTCTTGTATTGGCTGTATGTGTGGGCCCGCGTGCATGTGACATCCACTGTGAAGACAATATGTTACCCACCACACATCTGGTGCTTGACATCTCATATCCTAATTAGGTCTTTATCGCTCCAAAATTACGTGCTTCTGCACTCCTGCAATTACCGCAATAGGATTAGAAGTCCTTTTTCCCTAGGAAATAATTGAGATCCCTCATGGTGGCATGTTTTTATTGCTGCAGCACTGTCCCAACCGGCCCTCTGGAAAGTCTCTCGGTGTTTTTCCAGGGCCCGCATCGCCACCTCACTCCTAACGGGATCTGTGCAGCCAGCCGTTCCTGAGAGATAAGAGTTCTCGTCATCATGCAAACCATGGTAACCAATTTGCGTTTTCTCTCCCTCCCTCTCTCCCCATCCCTGATGGCAGGTGCCCGGAGACTTGAGTCAAACATCTGAAGACCAAAGTTTGTCGGATTTTGAAATGTAAGTTCCCAGCATCTGTTCATGAGGGGCTCTTAAGGAATGGATCTCTTTGTTGGACTTTTTGTCTGAAGAGGCCACAGCAGGAAACTAAACCATTGTTCACGTGTGGTCTCGGCTGATGTGGTTAGGGCAAAGGCAGACCTATGTCCACTTGAGACTGGTCATCAGACATGCACTCTTGGGGTGTGTAACACATCTTTCTGACCTGTACTAGGAGATTTTATGTCAGAATTTAATCCACATCTCTGTATGGCCACCGGCCAGCTGAAACTGAGGAACAGCTGCCCGCTTCTCACAGTTTGCCACACTCGTCACTTCTCCCTATTACCTTACCCCTGCCCACTCTGCTCATTTCATGATCCATGTGGCTCCTGTCAAACTCAAAAGCAAAGAATTGCCGTGGAATCAGAACTGTGTCATAGGGGATTCTCCAGAGGATTTTTAGAGGCTGGATATCACAGAGGAGGAGATTTCCCATCTTTCTCCAGAGAAGCAGCTGGTGGATTCGAATTTCATGCCTTTGGGTTGGCAGCGCAACTCCTTATCCACTAGGCCACCAGAGCTCTGTATTTACTGTTCTTAGAAGCAACAATAGTTCAGTGCCTTGGTCTGCTTTTTGGTCACACCTGAGTCCATTTGGTGCTCTTCAGGAGTTTAATTTGGTACTTAAACCATCTATTTCTGAGAATATTGTCTTGGTTTGGGGACAAGTAATCTTGGGCTGCCAAAGAAAAGTGGATGAAGCTTACATTAGGGGCCAGATAGAACTGCTCTCTTCTCCTGGTCATTTGTTCTGAATAGGAAGGTTAAGCCTCCCAAAGAGAAAGCATATACTGGTAAAAGCCCAGTTCTGAGAGGCAGATGGGGCATCCCTGGAAAGAGCCAGGCAGACCTGGAAACTCAGCTCCAGAGCTCACAGCAGCGTGTCCTGGACAAGCCCTGTCCCCCTGCTGAGCCTAGTTTCCTTATTCACACCTTGACGTTCATGACTCCAGCCTTGTAGAGCTGTGACAATGATGGGAGTAAGATAATGATAACCACAGAGGCCTCACGAAAACACTCAGTCCTCCTGGTGGTTAGGGGTCTGGAGGAGGTTGGTGGGGTCAATAGCAGGAAGAAGTGGTGGTGGTCAAGAGGAGACAGAGAAAACCCAAGGTGGGGTGACGGCCATGAGTTCATGGATAGGAATAAGCTGTAAAGAGGACAACAGTACAAAGACATCGTGGCAGAGAACGAAGGGGGACAGTCCAGGATGAGGGGCCGAAGGGAGCTCCAAAGATGAGGAGAGAGTCCCTGAGGAGACTGAAGGGACTTGTTATGAGCCCAAGACTTTCCCAAGTACCCGTAAAGTGCTTGACAGGGGCATGAATAGGCTGTGATCCCCAGCCTCTTGCTACCTCCTTTAATGCAAGCCACCCTTGTCTCTTCCCGGGAGACTTACCGCCTCCTCTTAGTCTGTTCTGCACTGAAGTAAGACAGAGGTGTGGCCACTCATTGCCCGCTGTCATCAGCCTTGATGCGCAGAGACCATGCAGGACAGAGTAGAATTGCCCCCCAGGGTTCCTAAGGCTGTCACCTTTACAGAAGAGAGCCCTGCTGTGGTGGTTCAGGAATTCAACTGCTACCCAAAAAAATCCTTTGTTTGAACCCACCAGCCTTTCTGTGGGATGAAGATGGAGCAGTCTGTTTCCATAAAGTTTACAATCCTAGAGCCCTGTGTGCTACAAGTTTGCTGAATTGGAATCGACTCAAAGGCAGTGTGTGTTGGTTTTTGAATCTTTACAGAAGCAGACCACCGCATCTTTCTCCCCAGGAACAACTAGTAGATTTGAACCACCAACCTTTTGAACCGTAGCCCACACTTAACCACTGTGCCCCCGGGGCTCCTTCAGAAGAAGCGTTTTCAATGTTTCCTCTCTCTGAACATGAAGACTAGAATCTTTCATGTATTTACCCAAGAAGGGCCCTGACCACCTCTCCAACCACTTCCTCGCTGCCTGCCTCACCCTGATCCTTCCCTCTCGGGATCTTTATCTTATTTGTTTAACACACACCACAAACATTTACTCTGCCTCTGCTAACTTTCTCAGTCCACAGCACGCCTCTGAGATTGGCTTCACCCTTTAGCAGGTGAGCTCCAGCAGAGATTCAAACCCAGGCAGTCTGGATCTATGCTCTGTACGCTTTGCAAATTATTGTCACCCTGCCAGCAGCCCTGTTCTTAGATGCCCCTCTGCAGAGTGGCTGACTCTTCCCTGTACTCCCTGAAGCCTAGCTCTAATACTGCTCCCGATGCAGCCCTCTCTGATACCGATGCCCCAGACCAAGTCAGGCCCCTGCTGCTCTCTGTCCTCAGCGTGAAGTGTTTCTTGATGGCACTGTTTAGTTCCCCTATTGTTTTCTTTTAAGAAGTTACTATCAATCCTGACTCATGGTGACCCTGTAGTACGGAGTGGATCTGCCCTGTCGTGTTTCCAAGCCTGTAACTCTTTACAGAAGTGTGCTGCATGTCTTTCTCCCAGGAGCATCTCGAGGATTTGAACTGCTAACCTTTTGGTTAGCCACTGGGCACATACCCGCCAGCCTCCTTTCACATTGCCATAGTGGTAATGGATTATTTTATGAGGATTAATCTTTCTTATGTTAAACTGTACTTTCCATGAGGGCAAGGACTTTTGTCTGCTTTTTTTTTTTACTGTTCTGCCTCTGTTAGTTAAAAGAGTACCTGCTGGCACATAGTAGGGTCTAACGAAAACTTCCCTAATCAGTGGCCAAATGAATGCGCAAAGAAATGAACAAATGAATTACCCTCTAAGAGGGAGATGATGCGTAAGCAGTCAACTATGGTGCAGGGTGGTGTTTTGAAAAGGGGGTAACCTCAGCCTGGGAGGTGGCCCACCCTCAGCTATGCAGAAAAGCCTTTGAAAACCAGAGTGCTGGTCATGCTGCAGCAGCAGAGCCAGTGATGAGAGGCAGACACTAGTTCTAGACACTACTGCCATCTGGGCATCTCCACGGACCCTAGGCCAGTAGATCACCTAGTTTGATGGCTCCGTGTTGCCGTTTGGCCTTTGAGCTCTGGGGAAGTGAGCAAGCAGACTCGTTTACTCAACAGAGGAGATCACCACCTCAATGCCAGGCTTGGAGGAAGGCTACTTCCAGAGTGAATGTTACCTGAGGGTTATTCTTTGTGCAAAAGGATACTCTTTACGCTGGATGTTATGGAATCTTCCATCATTCAAGTCCAGGAGACTGGTGACATTTTATGAGCTGCTCTTTAAAGAGGGAGTGCTCAGGAGAAAGCATTTAACCCTGCAGCAGCTTGAAGCAGAGGCGAGGGCTGGGACCTCCCAGGAGTACACACAGCACTGTTGGCAGAGCTCTTTTGACTGGTGTTAAAAATTCCACAGCAGGCAACTTGTCAGCTCTGCCTGGTTTGGGTCCAGCCAGATGGGAGTTGGTTGTGATTGCTGCTACTATTGTTGGAGGGTGTGTGTGTGTGTGTGTGTGTGTGTGTGTGTGTG